TCTCTTAGAGGCATTGCTAAACTTTTTATTTTGAGTGAAAGAGGTTTAAATTCGTGGTGTGCTTTAAAACACGCCCTGTTAAATGAGTTTCGAACAACAACAAATAGCGCACAATTGCATAAGCAACTTAGTGCTCGCAAAATAAAAAAAGATGAAAATGTGTTTGAATATTTTTATCAAATGAAAGATATCGCATCTCGCGGCAATATCGAAGACGAAGCGCTGATTCAGTATATAATAGATGGAATTAGAGACGGTTATGTAAATAAAATGATACTATATGGTGCAAAGAACCTTAATGAATTTAAAGACAAATTAAGATCATATGAAACAATGTGTGAAAAAAGTAAGCAAGTTAACGATTTTAAACAAAGCGAAAAGAAAAGTTTCTCAACAAATAAAACAGAAGTGAAATGCTACAATTGTGGTGAAAAGGGACATTTGTCCATGAATTGCAAAAATAAAAATCGAGGTACTAAATGCTTTAAGTGCAACCAGTACGGACATATTTCTAAAAACTGTGAACAAGCCGAAAACAAAATAAATACGCGCAGTTTACAGCAAAAAAAACAATTTAACTACCAAATCCATTTTTATTGGCAATTTACAGTGCGCAGCCCTATTCGATACAGGCAGTAAATTTAATATAATTCGCGAAGACTTATACAACAAGTTGAATAAGCCTATTTTAGAAAAATGTGACGTATGTTTAATTGGTTTCGGTAGTGATCGCAATTCAAATAGGATTAAACCAATTGGACATTTTAAAAACTTAATTAAAATTGACGATAATGAGTTCATATTAGATTTTTATGTCGTTCCAATTCGGTGCATGGACTTACAAGTGATCATTGGCGAAGAACTATGCTTATACGCTGAAATTTTATTTAATCGTGATGGTATAAACGTTCGTAAAATCCTCGACGAAGACGATCCCATAGACGAAGAAGCTAAAATAATGAAAATTGACTTAGTAAATGACAACAAAACGATTGATATCGACAAAACCGCTAGTGAGAATGCGAGACGACAGGTACGTGAAATGATCATAAATTATCAGCCGAATCAATGTAAAACAACACAAGTGGCGATGTACATAGTGCTCAAAGACGAAACACCCATTTATTCCAGGCCGCGTAGATTACCGTTCACGGAGAGATGCATTGTGGATGAGCAAGTGGAACAGTGGTTGAAAAATGGTGTAATTGAACGATCGGAGTCAGAATTCAGTAGCCCAGTTGTATTGATAAAAAAACGCGACGGTACACCACGCTTGTGTATTGACTTTAGAAGAATTAATAAAGTACTGGTGAAAGACCGTTTTCCGTTGCCACTAATAGAAGACCAACTCGATCGGCTACAAAGTGGTAAGGTGTTCAGTACAATTGACTTAAAGAATGGATTTTTCCATGTGCCCGTGGCAGAATTATGTCGTAAATACACGTCATTTGTTACACATAATGGACAATATCAATTCTGTAGAGTGCCATTTGGATTGTCGAACTCACCAGGTGTTTTTCAAAGACATATAAACGCGATATTTCGTGAATTAACTAATGAAGGTATAGCTTTACCATACGTTGATGATATCATTATACCCGCAGCAAATGAAGAACAAGCCGTACAAAACCTAAAAGTTGTATTACAGCGGTGTGCAGACTTTGGACTTGAATTGAATTTTAAAAAATGCAAGTTTCTAATGAGAAAAGTGGAATTTCTAGGGCACACAATACAAGATCAAAAAATATCACCGTCAGAAGTTAAGGTTGAAGCTCTACGCAAATACAAATTGCCGCAAACATTAAAACAATTGGAAAGTTTTCTTGGGTTGGCGAGTTATTTTAGAAAATTCATACCTAAATTCTCGCTAATTGCCAAGCCTTTAACAGATTTAAGGAAACAAAATGTGAAATTTGAAATAAAAGATGAACAGATTACTGCATTTAATACGTTGAAGACCATCTTAAGCGAAAAACCGGTACTAAACATTTTTAATCAAAAATCTGAAACGGAAGTGCATACAGATGCTTCGATAGAAGGATATGGAGCCGTTTTATTGCAAAAATCACCAGACGACGAACAATGGCATCCTGTGTATTATATGAGTAAAAAAAACCACTGACGCACAAAGAAAATATACAAGTTACGAACTAGAAATATTGGCTGTTATTGAAGCTTTCAAAAAGTTTAGAGTATACATTCTGGGTATGCATTTTAAGCTCGTTACTGATTGTAACGCATTTGCGATGACATTGGGAAAGAAAGACTTGTGCACGAGAGTAGCCCGTTGGATATTGTTCTTAGAGGAGTACGATTACGAAGTTCAGCATCGTGTTGGTTCGCGAATGAAGCATGTTGATGCTTTAAGCCGCTACGCCGTTATGTGCATAGATGAAGATAATATTCTTTCTAAAATACGGAGAGCACAGATGCAAGACGAAAACCTGAAAACGATATCGGATATTCTACAAGAAAAATCTTCATACAACGATTATTTTAAGAAAGGAGAGTTGTTGTATAAGCTGAGAAATGACCAAGAACTTATTGTTGTACCTAAGAGTATGCAGCGTGAAATAATTAGACATGCACATGAAAAGGGACATTTTGCCGTAAAAAAAAACAAGTGAACTACTCCGAAATGACTATTTTATACCTCAATTGGAAGAAAAAATACAAAAACACATTATGAATTGTATTCCATGTATCGTTGTGAATCGGAAGCAGGGTAAGCAAGAAGGCGAACTACACTCATTGATTAAAGAAAGTATACCATTACACACGTACCATGTTGATTTTTTGGGACCATTAGAATCAACGAACAAACAATATAAGCATATCTTTGTCGTTATTGACTCTTTTACTAAATTCTGTTGGATATATCCAACTCGAACCACATCAGCTAACGAGGCTATATCCCGATTGCGTACGCAAAGCATAGTTTTTGGTAATCCTAATCAAATAATATCAGACCGAGGTGCTGCTTTCTCTTCAGATGATTTTCGTAAGTATTGCGAGGGTGAAAGTATTAAACACATCAAAATTACTACGGGCTTAGCCAGGGCCAACGGACAAGTCGAAAGATTGAATAGCATAATTGCACCAGTTTTGGCAAAATTAAGCATGGCAGATCCAACTAAATGGTATAAAAATGTTGACAAAGTGCATCAGATAATAAACTCCACGTATTGCAGAAGTACTGGAACGACGCCTTTTGAATTATTAATTGGTGCTAAAATGCAAACAAAGGAAGATATTCAGATCAAAAAAATTATCGAAGAGGAAATTACAACGATTTTTAATGAAGACCGAGAAGAAATGAGGCAACGCGCAAA